GACTGCTCGTCTACGTAACTTGAAATATATAAGGCATATGTAGGTGACATAATCATCATAGGACAGTGTCTAGATGTGTTCTATCCGCATGCCCGTTTAGCACTAGGCGCCTTCGTAGTTTTGGACACGGTGCGCTCTAAGAGGTTATGTGTCGCTGGTCGCATTTTAATGGATGCACTGGGCTATTGTTGACTAAAGCCGGTTATGTTGTTAGGATTCGTCGCAGCCCAACTTATGATGCGCTTCAGCGGCCCGAAAGCAAGCTGGCTCAGCATTGTTGCGTTGCGAAGTTGTTCAAAGTTAGCTATGCGAGTAAGCAATAATTACAAGAAGGCAATACTGCCTTATATTTTACGCTCAGTTCGCTGAGAGCCAAAATTTGGCTACACGCTTGGTCAGTAGTTGAACCCGCGGTGCATTCTCTGCAATGCCATTAACCGCGATGGGTGCACGCCTAAATGCGTTCACCGATATACCATCAGAAATGTGGAAGACCATTGCGCTGCACGATCCATTCCCACACGCAGCATGATATCGTGCAAGGTCCTCCACTTTTCCTATTTGCAAAGTTGGTGAGGTTGACCACAGCTGCTTAGGTGAACTCTTCGGTGTGGCCCGTACACGGGTTCTTTTGGCTCGAGTCGCCAAAGCCTCTGTTCTCTGAGTGCAGGTTATGCTAGGCCCGCTTCGATCATCGTAGAATTTTCCTAACATGTCCGAGTTAACTGGGCTTTCTAAAGGTTGCCTTAGGGTTTCGTCGACCATTGTCCCTTCCGGTATATCAGGTCCAGTTGTATCAGCAGCTGGGTACTTAGTATTAAGTGTGACGTTTCCTTCATTATTCTCAAATTGGTTGGTTTGATCCATGTATCCTGTGGCTGTATAGAAAGTACTGCTCTCAGGGTTTGCATATTCTTCCAACGAATCAGGCAATCGCGTATCCATATCAGACGAGTTGTCAAAATTTACAGTAGCACGGCCACTTAGGTTTGTAGATGCCTTACAGTTGTCAAAACTCGCCTGAACACATCTAGTCTATGCGAAGCCCCCTCTTTGTCTATCTTAACAGCGTTGCGAAGCCGCTCTTGCCGGTACTAATTTTATGTTGATTAACGTCGTGCGGGTTCCATATTCGCTTTGATAAGCGAGAAACTCGTGAACCCATCTCTCATTACCTAACCTGACTAAAAGGGACCTTGGTTTTCCGTAATCCTTTCCTTCCGCCTTGTGTAACGCAGAAGGTTTTGCTCCAAGCGACACAATTACATCAGTATTTAGCTAAAAGCTGAAACATTATACATCACTACCTCATTAAGACATTTTAACCAATTTACCAGATCGGTGCACATCGTGTTGAAGAACCCCAGCCAACTCCGCATGTTTAACCTCCATAACGTTCTTGGGGTAAAGCTTAGTCGCTATGGCTGCTAGTCTATCAGTAAAAGATTCTAATATGTTGTAGATCATTTGATTTTCACCATGTCGTTTGGAAGCTCGAATATTTAAGAACTAAGGAAGGTCGTCCGTTGGGTTAATGGTGCATGGTGTAGTTGCACCAGTTGAGACCTTATGGTTAGTTTTAGATTCAGCCAGGGTACACTTTACGGGTCCCAAATCCATGCTGGTGACGTTATGACGAGGTTCGCAGAAAATGTCCACAGAAAAGAGATGATAGAAAAGAAAAGATAAGGGCAGCAAAACTAAGTTTAACGACAACTAAAAGTGAACATCGTGATATACTATACTCTAGATACAACAAACGCTTCTGAAAGCCTGAACAAATTGAGAGAGAGACAAAACGGACCTCGTTGCCGGGTACAGCTCTGTGTCTTATACCTATATGCGACATCAAAGAGAAAAGCCGACTTAGGTTCCAGAGTCCACTATAATATAAACATGCGAGTCGGATCGCTTATACAACAGCGTTCCGCCTCCTGTGCCAGGGAGGTAATTTCGGATGGAATTCATGCCGTGTAATGCAAACTCAGCATCGGTTATCTCCTGGTTCGGAGTATACTTACGCCCCAAGTAGTGG